AAAATGACCATCAAAATGGTGAATAAGTAGAACGCTGGAAGGAAATACATTGTCATTTTGAAGCAGATTTTTTAAATGCAACCTTTCCCCACACTGTGCAACTGCTGATGTAAACTCCAGGGTGCCTGACTTTAAAGAAAATGGAAAGGGAACATTTCTGAGCAAAGGCTAGAGAAGAAATGGTTTGGTGGGATTGCAGATTTAGAGCTTCAAGGGACCTCAGCAGTCACGTAGGTCAATCCTCTCAATTTTTTAGGTTAGGAAACATTCCCAAAGGGAGGTGACTAATTCAAAGTCATTCAGCAAGTGACAGGACAGAATTAGAACCCAAGCCTCTTCTAGCAGATCCAGCCCTCCTTTCCCTATAGTACACTGTACCTCATTTCTCTAGGTCACTGAAAGATGGGCATGTTATTCTGCCATCCACACCCCCCTTACCCCCAAGCTTTATGTTTCAGCTAAACCAGACTATTTACTGTTTCTCAGATCCTATCTCCAAGTCTTTGTATCAGCAGTGAGGTGGTGCAGTCGATAGAGTGTTGGATTCAGAGTCAGATGCTTACTAGATAGTTGAATGACCCGAGACCATCACTTATCCTCTCTCAGCCTCAGTTTCCCCATCTGGAAAGGGGGGATAATAATGGCATCCACTTTGCAGGGCTGTTATGAGCATCAAATGAAATAACACAAGTAAAGTCCTTTGCAAACCTTAAAACGTGATATAATGATAGGTATTCTCATTATTCTAGGCTGAGACTCATGTGGGGAGGGCTCCCTCTCCTCACTTCAGCCTCTTAGAACCCCTATGACCCTTCAAGGCTTGGCTTAAGTGCTGTCTCCACTTCTCTGGGCCTTTGATTACTTTATAGTATTCTGCATATTATTTGTATTTGTTATGTACACATCAATTTGTATTACTTTGCACATTATTTGTATCTATATGTACACACTGATTTATATTATTTTGCATACTATTTGTATTTGTATATACATGTTGATTCTCCCCCAAGAGAATGCAAGCTTCTGGAGGATAGATAACATTTCATTTTTTTGCCTTTGTGTGCCCAGCACAGTTCCTGGCACCCAGTAGCTGCTTAATAAACATTAAATTGGATTGAATTTCAACAATTACTGAGGTGGAGGGTGAGCAAAGGAAGCCCTTTATACATTCAAAACAAGAACATCCCAACTAAGAATGAGGACCAATTGTCCCCTACTGTCATTATTTAAGTGACCTAGCATTAAGAAAAATCTCTAAAAGAGGAGGTCATATCCATTGAAGGAAAGGCTTCTGTGTGTTCATTACTGTCTACCCCTTGCTCTTATCCCTGGGACTTGGCATCACAGAGCATCACGGCTGCAAAAGACCCCCAAAGATACATTTCATTTCTCAGAGAGAACGTCTTCTACAACATACCTGAACATTGTGTTATTCGAACTTCCTGCATCCCCAGGCAGCCCATTCTAATCCTGGACAGCTCTCCCTGGTCAGAAATCGCCCTTGAAATCAAGCCCAAGGTCAGCCCCCAGCACTGTGGGCTTCTCTATTTTCATAGAGGAGTTGGGGACACATCTGAACCCCTTTTATTGTTCCTGAGAATCTTGACCACATCCATAACCTCCCTACCAGGAAATCTGTCTCAGTGCCTCATTCTTGTTTCTGGGAAGGTGGAAGGTACATGAGATCATCACATTATTTGCTATACTGCAGGTGGACAGTATTTTAGAACAGGACAAGAATGGGACATGAACTTAATGGCTTGATTAAGTGGAATCACAAATTCAATGGAGTCTGCCCAGCACCACGAGGTAGGGCAAAGGTGTCAAAGGCAAATAGAAATTGGGTTGCTAATCTGCACATGGAGCCCTGGAAGCTGTATATTGACAGTTTTAAAATGTAACATTATCTTTGTTTTTATTTATTTTGTTAAACAGTTCTTAATTACAGTTTTATCTGGTTCAAGCAGCATTCGAGAGCATTGCATGTGGCTTGTTGGGCAGCGTGTTTGACCCCTCTGAGGTAGGGATCCAAGATAAAACCATCGCAGAAATACGGTCCCACTCTCAAGGCACTCTCCTTCTGGTGGCTGGGTAGCTGGGGCCAGAGTACACCAGACTCAGGAATGCTTCATCTCCAAGCCCTATACACACTTCAGACCACACAGAATCGCATGATCCAAGTGCATATAGGGGTTCAGAGAGAGAGGTGGAATCAGCAGAGTAGACTCAAAGAATGTTCCAGATGAAGCAGACATTAGGGATCAGCTTGTCCAGTGCCCAGAGCCAGAACTAGCATGAGGTGCATTGGCTCAAGGGTGCTAATATCCAAGGACGATGGATTTCTCCCTGGGGTGGGGTGGTAGATCAAGGACAAGGTGATTCCTATCCTTTATCCCATGCCAACCCCATGGAGACCTTGGGTAGCGTAGGATCAGAAGTGGGAGGTGGGGAGGAAAGGAAAATGAGTAGAGACAGTGGTATAAACCAGATTATACCCCAACCCCATTTTTAACTCTTTGAGAACAGGATCTGCACTTCCTTCCCTTCTTCCTCCCTTCCCTTAGTCCTTCAGAGCAAGGAACTGCACCCTGAATAAAGTGAACAGTCATTATATAATTGTGGATGATTACGATAATAGTTGACATATTTCCTGTGAAACAATTCATTCCCACGCTTATATCTCCCACTTCCACCCCTATCCCCCCACCTTGAGCTCCACCCCTTGGAGCCTGGGCTCCTCATTCATGTTAAGATCTTTGGGCCCATTTCATTCTTTCATCCTCAGTAATCCCTGTTCACCATGGCAAGCAAGTTTCTCCCTCTTGTCTCTCTAATCTCTGTGATTCAGAACTTTCCATCTGCTTTCTAGGTGAGACCCCACAGGCTCATCAGCCCTGGCCCTCCCTGGTCCCTCTCTACTCTCCCCTCTGAGAACCCTTCTCTGTAGTTGACCAATCTCCATTCATCATGGCTTTCTTCCTTTCACGTTCCTTCAGTTCTCTGATGTGATTCTCCCCATTTCAATGACTGAAGCCACTCCATCTCCTGGTATCTTCTCCAAGGCTGGCTGCCCTTGTGCTCACACCTGACAGAAAGTCAGTGGCTGCCCCCAGCCTCCATCAAAGCCCCTCCCTCCCACCATCACTCAGCAACGACTGCTCTTCCTTTAAAGCTAACTCCATCTTGTTCCCATCTTTGTTACTGTCATCTATGGACCTCTAGGTCATTCTCCCTCAAAACTTAGGAGGCAGGTAGGTGAGACAATGGATCACTCGCTGGACCTAGAGTCAGGAAAGCTCAAATTCAAATCCTACCTCAGACACTCACTAGCAGTATGATCCTAGGCAAGTCACTTAACATCTCTCTCTGCCTCATCTGTAAATCGAAGATAATAACATCCTCCATCTCTCAGGGTTATCGTGGGGAGGAAATGAGATGACATTTGTAAAAGTGCTATAGAATACCTTTTATCTCCTATTATTGTTATTATTAGCCATTCTGATTGAGTAGCTGGTATATGGTCTTCTTCTCCACCCCAATCACCATCTCCTCTTGCACTTTCAGAGGAATTTTTCCCAGAAGCAAGAATTCCTAGTTATGGGTCTTTTATCCCCGCCTCTCCCCTTGCATTTTACAAATTATGGGATGACAGATTTAGAATTGGAAGAGAACTTGGAGGTCAACTATTGCAACCTTGTTTTAACAAATGAGGAAATTGATGCCCAGAGGGGAAGACGTGGTAGTGGCAGCATGGCAGTGTGGGTAGTTCCTTGGATTTGGAGTAGGGGAGTTTCTATTGCTGTTGTTCAGTGATTTCATTTGTGTTCGACTCTTCCATTTGGAGTTTTCTTGGCAAAGATAGTGGTTTGCCATTTCCATCTCCAGCTCATTTTACAGGTGAGGAAAGTGAGGCAGGCAGGGTAAAGTGATTTGCGCAGGACCACACAGCTAGTAAATATTTGTCTAAGGCTGGAACTGAATTCAAGAATATGAGTCTTTCTGACTCCAGGCCTGTATCATCTTTGTGCCCCGAGTAAGGAAGATCTGAGTTCAAATCTCAAGTCAATCACATATTTGCTGTATAAGATTAAACAAGTCACTTAACATCTCTGTGCCTCAGTTTCTTGACATGTAAAATGAGGAGGTTAAATCTGATGACCTCTAAGATCTCATCCAGAATTCAGTGATCTTATTCGGTGATTTTTCCAAGTCATATAGCTATTATGTGGATTTGAACCCAGGTCTTTTTGCCTCTAAATTCAGGGCTCTTTCTATTGGATCACAATATTGGAAGAAGCTGGATTTGAATTGGACAAATTTGGATAGGAAGGGAGAAAATGTGATGATAAAAGGAGTCTCCCTTTTAATATGCAACTTTTTAGGGTGAATGACCCAGAGGTCTATAGATGATAATAACAAGGCTCTAGAGAGAATGGAATATACTTTCAAGGAGGGGAGATGGTTGCTGAGAGATAATGGAGAAGGGGGGGGGTCTCAAAGAGGCTTCAATGACAACCTTGGAGCTTTGAAAGGGCAGTCAGGGGTGTCTAATTCACCCCCATCCCCCATTTTTCAAAAGAGGAAACAGGTCCTGAGAAATACAGTGCTTTCCCCAAGGCTATGCAATAGCCCATAAGGGGCAGAATTGGCATTTAAATCCAAGCCCTCTAATTCCAAATCCAGCCCCAGTCTCCTTTCCTCACCTGGTTTTGTTTGCTGACAACAGACTGACAACAGACAGGCTCGATCTGTTTTTTCGAACACTGCCCCAACAAATGAACCCCATGCCATCCAAAAAGCTCACTACCGAGAGGGCTGGTTTTTCTCAGTCCCAAGCTCCTCTGATATACCATTATTCTTTTCCCAAACTACTAGTTGGTTATATTAATACTTGAGTAATCATGACAAGAATTTGCTCTAAGCCTTTAAAGAACCCAGATGCTAATCAGTATGCATTAAGAGATCCAGCTTAATTGGTTCCATCCAGATAAATTACTTACCTCCGTTCCTATCACAATTTCATCCCTGGGAGAGAAGAAGAGAAATTCATACAGCTTATAGTGTTGAAATAAGCTGAAATACAAAATAAATGGGGAACTGCAGTCAATTTCATTTGTCAAGTACACATCCACAGGTAATGATTATATTAGAGGTCTGTCAAGCTGACCAGGAGAAAGATGTTCAGCACTAATGGTTATGGCCCTATTCCCTCATTGTAGATAAAATTGTCCATAAAAGCTAAGACTTTCAAGGGTTTTTAAAATGATGTGGTGTTTGAAAATGTGATGTAGCATTTAAAATCATGTCACTAATTCCACCTGGAAAATTAAGAAACTAGAATTATTTAGGAATTATTAGAGGCTGTCTTTTAAGTGCTATTAGCCTGGAAGGGCCTCCAAATGGCAGTACTGTTGAGTGATGAGAACCTCTCACCCTGTAGCTTTATTGGGCTTGTCCCATCCTGAAGTTACAGGATTGGAGGACTACACTGAATCTCTGAGTAGGAAGGGTCCTAAGAGGTCATCTGGCTTAATCCATATCTGAACAGAAATTCCCTCAATGACATACATGGTAAGCGGCCATTCTGTGACTTGGAGTTCAAACATGGCATTCTTTTCTGAGGCAGCACCTTCTAATTTTGGAGAGCTTTCATCACTACATTGGGCCTGATATAACCTCCTGCTCCCTTCCACTGAACTATTTCTCCCAACTCTTCCCTCTGGGACTGAACAGAAGAAATCTAATTCCTCTTCCATGTGAAAGCTCTAGTCACCAGATCTGGGTATGCTGTTTTCCTGGGCTCCAATCCTGTTTCATTTCTCCTGCGGTTTTCCCTAATTCCATTCAATTCAGTTCAGGTCATTTCAATTAAAAAAAACATTTATTAAGCCTCTGCTATGAGGGAGGCAATGTGTCAGAAGCTAGGGATGCCCTTTTGTGCAATGTCATTTATTGAGAACCGATAGGCACTAAGACACCTCCTCCTCAACACATGTTCAGCTTCAGAGGAAGTGCCCGAATACAGAAAATTAGAAATTTTGCCAAGAGGCTAAACTCAAACCAAAAAAAAAAAAAATAGTCCTTACTCTCATTGAACTTATTTTCTAATGCAAAATTGATTAGGATGAAATTCATCCTCAATTTCACGTCACTTTTTTTCTTTTAAAGATAAACTTGAATATAGTCAACTAATTTTCTTGAGGTATGTTGGATGTATTTAGCAGACAAGAAGGAATCATTAATGAGTCTGTTTTGTCCTGTCCTTAAAACTTAAAGGCTGAGTAGCTCTGACAATATCCAAGATTGGGAGGGTCCCCCAAACAAATGATACCATTGCCAGCACAATGATGATTCTCAGTGACATCTCATTGGAGACTGGGAAGCTGCTGAAATGTTGAGTTCTAATACCCTGTTTGTGGTAATATTTGAATTTCTTTAATTCTCTTCCTGCTGGTTAGGAAAATTAATAGTCTCATAATCTCCAAAAATGCCCGAGAACAAAAAAAAAATCTTAGTGGTTTCTGTTTCACTCTGGTGCCTTTTGCTATTTAAGAAAATTGATTTTAATATAACTGAGAAATTAACATTTAAAATGTAGCTACTGAGCATGTATAATAATGGCTTTTGCTGAAAGTTGTAATGGATCAAAGTTTCAATGCATTTGAAATCAATGGAGAACTCCTCAGGCAGCTGGGCTTCTCAGAGTTCCATTAGGAGCTGATCTCTTTACTAACATAACCCATTTAATTTAATTCTGTTCTATTCAACAATCCATTTATTAAGAGCCTACTATGTGCAAGGCCCTGGGGATACGAAGGCATAAAAAGATGCAGCTCATAATCAAAGAAAGGATGTAAGATGCAGGACCAGTAAGCAAAGAATGACAATGCAAATTAGGACATGATCAACATAAAAGAGAAATCCAGAGTATTTTTAAAGAAAATGTGAAGGGATGGGGGATGTCTGGGCTTGCTTGTGACGCATGAGTCTGCATTCACTATTTTATCGTGTTAATATGTATTGGTGTGCAGTTCTTGGCTGCATCTAAATTATTTGATACAAGCAGAATTCTACACAAGCTCCCACACTTCCACACCTTAAGGTGACAGATACGGAAGACTGGGTACTGTAGTCAGGGGACCTGGATTTAAATCCCACCTCTGACACTTCTTGTGTGACCTTGGGCAAGTCACGTACTCTCCACGGGTCTCAGTTTCCTCATCTGTCAAATGAGGTGGTTGGAACAGCTGGCCCTCGAGGACCCTTCCAGCTCCAAATCCATGATCAAGTCTTTATGATTTCATGGGTATGATTTCAGTGCTTATTGAGCCTTCAGAGATGGCAGCAATGAGTCGTGGTGGACTGAGGTAGCATCAAACAATGGGCTGGAGTTGGAATCAGAAAGACCTGGATTCAAATTTTGCCTCAAACACTAGTTGTGTGACTATAGGACTCTGTGCCTCAGTTTCCATGTAAAATAAAGGGAGTGGATTTGTTGGCCTCTAAGGTCCTAGTGCTCAGTTGGGAGAGCCTCATTGTAAGGTAGACAATGATAAACTAGAGGGAAACCACAATGGTGAGCAAGGGCCTCGAGTCTATGCTAAATTGTTTTTGTTGTTGTTTATCCTTCATTTTTGGTGAGGACCACCAGCATCGTGGGGTGACATCTTGACTCAAGAATGAATAGGATTTAAGTGAAGTAGAATTGTGTAAAGTCATCAGCCTCACTCTCTCTTCCAGAGTCATCAAAGTTCAATGGCTGGACAAGAGTCAAGATGACTAAAGATGGTCCAGGATGCAGTGGGTAACGTTGGCATCTTGGATATCTAAGCATGCTACAGAGCCTGCTTCAGCCACCATCGTGGCCATTGGAACAAATTGTTCTCATCCACCCATTCCACCAGTGGAAGCCTTCACATGCTTAGGGTATTCATCCCCCTAACTTACCCATGGGTTTAAGGACTGTGGATTACCCTCAGCCCATCAGCAGAAGGTTTTATTGAGATCTAGTGAAAAGACCTAGCAATGTTTAGCCTGGAGAAGAGAAGGATCAAGGGAACACAATAGCTATCTTCATGTTTTTGAAGGCTATCAGGTGAAATAGGGATTATTTCTTCTGCTTGGACTCTGCAGGCAGGACTGGGAGCCAGAAATAAAGACATACTTCAGCACTGTGTAAGGAAGGTAAATCAATACTTTGGGATATTATTTGTAGGCATACCCTCCACTGGCACGATTCATGGTCATTTATATCTTACAGTCTTAAACTGTTCCCTGAGGCTCATAAAGGTTAAGTGGTTCGTCCATGATCAGTCACATAACTCACTAATTAGATGCCAGAGGCAGAATGGTCATCCTGGTCCAGGTCCATTGCTCTATCCTCTACATAGCTTCCTGAAATCAGTCTTAGCTGAAAGTGAAATGGGCTTCCCTGGGAAATTGTGGATTCCACCACTGGAGGAGTGAGAGCAGAGGATGGATGGTCATTTTCTGGGAGAGAGGCATAGGGCCTCTTTGTCAGGTGGTCTGGATCAGTGGTGTCAAACTCAAATAGAAATGATGCCTATGGGTGCATGTTGACTTAGAAAACCACAAATTAACATTATCTATGTTGCATTGCATTTTTATTTATTTTATTAAATATTTCCCAATTATATTTTAACCTGGTTCTGGCTGCACTTGGCCTTTGGACTGTGAGTTTGACAACCCTGGATGGTCCCTGAGGCCCCTTCCATCTCAGAGAGTCTATGGCAGTACCCCTGAAACAACATGAGATATTCAAGAAGAGATGGGTTTGGGTACTAGACTTAAAAATATCCTGGAGTATTTTAGCATAAGAGGAACTTTAGAAAATGCCGTCTTACCATAATCACATTTTAGAGATGTTAAGTTAGCTGAAACTTTGCATTTCCTGACTTTTGTTTGTTAGGCGGCAAATCTATGTATGGTGATGTACAAAAATAAAAAGTTGGCATTGTCTAAAGTTGCTTAAAGGCATTATTTTATCTCATAGGCCCTTTTCTGAAGCCCTTTCTTCAGGGTTGGAATAGCTTTGGGAAAGGGAGAATACCTCATCTTTAGGTAATCAATGATCTCGTTGGCTTGTTGTACATTAAAGACATTCATATAGGGCTTTTCTATGGTATTCGGTCCAATTTCAGCCATTACTTCCCCCAGAAACTTTATGCTGTCTTCCAGCGACGCATGTAGGGCTGAAATGAAATTCAAAGAAATGAAAAGTAAGTGTAATTATGATGGATGCTTTCTTGGCACTCAAGACCCACCCAGAGTGCAAAAAAAAAAAAAAGGTGCTTTCAGAACTCTTCAAAATGCAGTGTTTCCAAAGACAGATAGAGCAAATATTGTTGCCTAAATTCCTTCCTTGAAAGCAATCATCAACCCTAGCAACTGAGAGTTATTTACACAAATAGTTGCACAATAATGCCTGAAGCATTTACGCACAATTTTGACTTTTACTTAATTTTTTTCCTCATTCATCCTATTTAATAATGTTATTCAAACTTTTAAACATTAGGATGATTTCCCAGCATACCTCACTGCAGCTGAATTCTTGGGTTGGTGGTGGTTGTAGTGGACAGTATCCTGAACTTGGAGTCAGCCAGACTACAGTTTAAAATCTGCCTCAAACACTTGCCCTGAGCAAGTCATTTAAACCCTCAGCCTCAGTTTCCTTATCGGTAAAATAGAGATCTTATTAAGAGGGTTGTTGTGAGAATTAAATGAGGAAGGGAAATTTCAACAAATAAAATGAAAATTTCTCATAATTTATACAGTGCTCTATACCTATAGTCCCTCACCTCTTACCACGTAGAGGGAGGCATGTTTCATAACATAATACTATCATAGATATAGCCCAGAAAGGAACCTCAAAGATCATTTAGTTCAACCTCTCATTTTACAGATGAGGAAACCCATAAGAGAAATAAATTGATTTTCCCAAGGTCACATAGCTGGTGTAAGAGGTGGGATTTTAGCTCTCCTCCTCACTCTAAATCCAGTGCTCTACTCACTATTACATTTCCCTTGGGAACAAGATTGGTCATTCCAATAAACCTGAATTTGGAAGCATCTCAGCATTGTTTTTGTTGACATTGTATATACCACACACTTATATAGCTCTTTAAAGTTTGCATTTTGGGTGGTGCCAGGATAAGATAGGAACTCACCTGAACTCTCCCAAATTTGCCTCCAAACAACTACAGAATGCTGCCTCAAAACCAACAAAAAGATGAAGTGAAACAATTTTCCAGCCCAAGACAACCTAGAGGGTGTGACCAGGAAAAGTTTGTCATACTCATATAAAAGAAGAGTGCAGTACAGTGCAGGTTGCATCCAAGTAAGCCAGAAGCAGGCTGCTTCCCAGAAAGACAGTGGGACCCTAAGCCTCAGGGCAGATCAATAGTAAGGCCCTGGGGCCCCTGGAACCCTGACACAACAAGTCAGGTGCATAGCAGGCCAGTGGCATAGTAGGCTACCAACACAGCAGGTCAACGGCAAAACCTCAAACTCCCAGAGTAGCAGGCCAGAGACTAGGCTTTGGGCTCCAGCAGAAGAAACTTGGTCATGAAATAGGCTGGAAAATGAGCAAAAAAATTAAAAAATAAAAAATAAATAAAAAATCTGACCACAGAAAGTTACTATGGTGACAGGAAAGATCAAAACACAAATTCAGAAGAGGACAACAATGTCAAAATACCTATTTGCAAAGCCTCAAAGAAAAACGTGAATTGGTCACAGGTCCCAAAAGAACCATGGAAGAGCTCAAAAAGGATTTTGAAAACAAATAAGCGAGGTAGAAGAAAAACTAGGAAAAGAAATGGGAGTGATTCAAGACAATCCTGAAAAAAAGAGTCAACAACTTGTTAAAGGAAGCACAAAAAATGGGAAAAATATGTACAAACATTCGCTGAAGAAAACAACTCCTTAAAAAGTAGAACTGGCCAAATGAAAGAGGAGGCACAAAAATTCACTGAAGAAACTAATTCCTTAAAAATTAGAATCAGGCAAGTGGAAGCTAATGACTCCATGAGACACCAAGAAACAATAAAACAAACAAACAAAAAATCTAAAGAATGAAAAAAATAAAAGAGAATGTGAAATATCTCAATGGAAAAACAACTGACCTAGAAAATAGATCCAGGAGAGATAATTTAAGAATTATTAGGCTACCTGAAAGCCATGATAAAAAAAAACCCTGGACAATATATTCCAAGAAATTATCAAGGAAAACTGCCTTGATATCCTAGAACCAGAGGATAAAATAGAAATTGAAGGAACCCACTGGTTACCTCCTGAAAAATATCCCCAAGTGAAAACTCCCAGGAATATTATAGCCAAATTCCACAACTCCCAGGTCAAGGAGAAAATACTTCAAAATGCCAGAAAGAAACCATTCAAATATGGTTCCACAGTCAGGATTACATGGGATTTAGCAGCTCCTACATTAAAGGACCAGAGGGCTAGGGATATGATATTCCAGAAGGCAAAGGAGCTAGGATTACAAATAAGAACCACCTATCCAGTGAAACTGAGCATAATCCTTCAGGGGGAAAATGGATATTCAATGAAATAGAGGACTTTCAGGAATTTCTGATGAAAAAAATCAGAGCTGAACAGAAAATGTCATTTTCAAATATAAGAATCAAGAGAAGCATAAAAAGGTAAACAGGGAAGAGAAAACATAAGGGATTTAATAAGGTTAAACTGTTTACATCCTTCCATGGGAAGATAATACTTGTAACTGTTAAGAATTTTATCATTATTAGGTCAATTAGAAGGAGTGTTCATAGACATAGCGTGCAGGTTGACTTTTATAGGATGATAGCCAAAAAAACTCAAAAACAAAATTAAGGGGTGAGAAAGAGAATTGTACTGGGAGAAAAACAAAAGGAAAAATAGAATGGGGCAAATTATCTCATATCAAGAGGCACAGAAAACCTATTATAGTGGAGGGAAAGATGGATACGGGTGGGCATAACTTGAAGCTTACTCTCATCATAAATGACTCAAAGAGGAAATAACATACACACTCAGTTGGGTATAGAAATCTATCTTACCCTGAAGTAGGAGAGGAGGGGAATAAGAAAGGTAGGTGGGGGATTGATAGAAGGGATGGCAGATGAGGGAAGGCTATAGTCAGAAAAAAACACTGGTGAGGAGGGACAGGGTGAAAGAAAAGAGAGAGAGAGAAGGAAAAACAGGGGGAAATAGGATGGAGGGAAACACACAGTTAGTAGTCATAGCTGTGAATGTGAATGGGATAAACTCACCCATAAAACAGAAGCACATAGCAGAGTGGATTAAAAACCAGAATCCTACAATATGGTTGTTTATAAGAAACATATCTGAAGCAAAAAGATATACATACAGTAAAGGTAAGTGGCTGGAGCAGAATCAATTATGTTTCTGCTGAGGTAAAAAAAGCAGAGTTGGCAATCAAGATCTCAAAGTAAAAACAAAAATAGATATAATTAAAAGAGATAAGGAAGGAAGCTACACTTTGCTGAAAGATCCTATAGACAACGATGTAATAACAACATGAAACATATATGCATCAAATGATATAGCATCCATAGTTTTAAAGGAAAGTTAAATTAGTTACAGGAGGAAATAGACAATAAAACTATACTATTGAGGGACCTCAACTTTTCTGTCTCAGAACTAGATAGATCTAACCAAAAACAAAAAAGAAAGACTTTAAGAAGGTGAATAGAACTTTAGAAAAATTGGATATGATAGACTCTGCAGAAAATTGAATGGGGATAGAAAAGAATGTACCTTTTTCTCAGTGATATGTGATACCTATACAAAAATTGACCAAGTATTAAGGCACAAAATCCTCACAATCAAGTGTAGATAGGCAGAAATATTAAATGCATCCTTTTTAGATCATAATGCAATAAAAATTTCATTCAATAAAGGGTAGTGGAAAGAGATTAAAATTAATTGGAAATTAAATAAACTAATGCTAAAAATGTGTGGGTCAAAGAACAAATCATAGAAACAATCAATAATTTCATTAAAGAGAATGACAACAATGAAACAACATATCAAAATTTATGGGATGTAGCCAAGGCAGTACTTAGGGGAAAATTTATATCTCTAAATGTTTAATTCAATAAAATAGAGAAAGAACAGATCAATGAATTGGCATGCAACTGAAAAAAAAAGCTAGAAAAAGGACCAATTAAAAATCCTCAATTAAACACCAAATTGGAAATCCTGAAAATCAAAGGAGAGACTAATAAAATTGAAAGAAAAACATTAAACCAAAAAATAAAACTAGGAATTGTTTTTATGGAAAAAAACAATAAAATTGATAAACAATTGTCTAATTTGATTTAAAAAAAAAAAAGAAACCAAAGCATCACCACCAAATGAAAAGGAAATTAAAATAATTATTAGGAGCTATTTTGCCCAACTGTATGCCAATGGATTCATAAATGAATTCTACCAAACATTTAAATAACAATTCTAATACTAAAGAAACTATTTGGAAAAATAGGTGAAGAAGGAATCCTACCAAATTTCTTACTATGACACAAATATGGTGCTGATACCTAAACCACAAAGAGTCAAAACAGAGAAAGGGAACTATAGACCAATATCCCTAATGAATTTTGAAGCAAAATATTTTAAATAAAATGTTAGCAAGGAGATTACAGCAATGTATCATGAAGATCATTCACTAAGACCAGGTGTGATCTATATTGGGAATGTAGGGCTGATTCAATATTAGGAGAGCTATCATCATAATTTACCATATTAATAACAAAACCAACAGAAATCAGGTGATTATCTCAATAGATGCAGAAAAGGCTTTTGACAAAATACAGTACCCATTCTTATTAAAAAACACTAGAGAACATAGGAATAAACAGAACTTTCATTAAAATGATAACTAGTATCTATCTAAAACCATCAGCAAGCATTATCAGCAATGGGGATAAGCTAGAAGTCTTACCAATGACATCAGAGGTGAAACAAAAATGTCTGTTATCACAACTATTATTCAATAGTGAATTAGAGAAGAGAAAGAAATTGAAGGAATTAAAATAGGCAATGAGGAAACAAAACTATCACTCTTTGCTGATGGTATACTTAGAAAATCTTAGAGAATCAAGTAAGAAACTAATTGAAATAATTAACAACTTTAACAAAGGTGAAATCCACATAACTCATCAGCATTTTT